ATAGTTTATTTTTATTAAAAATAGTATATGTTAAATTTAGTTTTAATTTGAAATAAAAATCAAATACACCCTGTATGTATAAATAAATATTCATTATGTTCCATCTTGACATATTTTTTTTATTTTTATTTATCCCATAACAATTAATATTTTTCTATTTTGGTAAAATTTACATAATATATAACAATTTACATCACATAGGATCCATTCTAATTTCTTTTATTTGCATCTTTCTTAAAAAAAATAAATATTTTTATCTATGTTAAAAATTCCACAATTTTATAAAATTATTTTATATTAATTATAAATAAATAAATAAATTTTGTTATTTACTTGTATTATATAAAATTTTATTATGTACAAAATGATATTTATATTTTGTATATATTTTTTATTACGATATAATTTGTAAAATATTTAAATATATATTCTAATTTTTGTAATAATATATATTAAATTTATTTTAAAACTACCAATATTATTAATTATATAAAAAATAAAAAATACATAATTCACTATTATTAACTAATTAAATATCATTATCTTTATAATTATGCCACTGATTAAATGCTTCAATTCAACCACAAAAGAGAGTATAATTTTCAAAATTCTCTCTACAGTTTACATCAAAGTTTTGACTTTGATGATATTTTTCTAAAAAAATATTATATTAATTAATTATATTTATAAAATATTTTATTAGATACTCAAATTTTAATTATTTAAAAAAATAAAAAATAAGTGTGTTTCTCTTCGGCATTTTTTTAAAAGTTTATTATTTCAACTCCATATTTTTTTTTTAAAAAAAAAAGACCTGTTGTATTATTTTTATCTATTTCAAAATAATAATTTTATTATGATAAACAATTACATAACTATCCCATTTTTTTATTATCATTACATAAAAAAATCACTAAATTACAATGACTTTGATTAAGCCCAGTATTTAGGCACGTGATTAAATCGCAACTAAGACTTTTCCACTGTAATTTGATTAAGACATGTTTACTTTTAATTAAGATATTTTCAATTTCCTTTTTTTTTTCTTCCAAACTTAAAAAATTATCGTGCTTATCCGTAAGAATATTCTATTTTTATTCGGTAAATCACAGTGATGTTCTTTTTTTATTTTTTAAAAAATAAAATTGCTATATATGTTCACCTGAATCGATAGAATGTGGTTGTAGCTTAGGATTAGTTTGGAAGTGGATTTTTGTTGGTTCCAATTATTAGCATTTTTTTTTTAAAATTAAAAATTATACTCCCTCCGTCCCATAACTATATATCAATTTGCTTTTTGCACGAAATTTTTTAAATATTAATATTATATTAAAATATAGTAGAAATAAAGTAGAAAAGACTAAATATTAGTATTGTGTAATATAAAGGTAATGACATTTGTGTAATATATTGTAAGTTGAAATGATATTTGTAATGTTAGGTAGATAGTACAATTAGGGTGTGTTCGTTTGTAAAATTTGTGCAAAATCTTACTATTCATCTAATTTTTTTCCCCAAAAAACATCAAATCAAACACCTATTTTTCATTTTTTATATTATACTAAAAATCAATTTTACATTCAAAACATAACATCAACATTTATTTATATCACATCGTACAACTATTCAAATTCAAATATTTTACTATTCAAATCCCAACTCAAAATCCAAACCCCCAAACAAACACACTCTTACTAAAAAAAAATTAATAGTTTGTTATGTGATGGATAAAATGAAAAAATAGATACTTTATTATGGGACAGAGGAAGTATATAAAAATAAAAAAGTTTTACGGATAAAATAATTACATTTATGTACCATTTAAATATTTTTTTTTAAAAAAAAATCAAAATAAATAAATAAATGTATATATATTGTAAGAGAGGAAATATTAAATTAAATTTTTATATTATATTATTATTATTTTATTTAAAATATCAAAATATCTATTAATTTAAAAGTTTTTATTTATTTGTTTCGGTTCCAAACTTAGGTTATAAATAAGTATTATTTTAAACTGTTTAGGATTTTTTATAGTTTTTATTACTGGTTATGAAATTTATAAAGTATTAGTATTAAAATACTAGTGTGTTTATTTTTTTATATTTTATGAAAGATAATATATATTCTTTTGAACTATATATTAGAAATAATGACATTTGAAAATAAAAATATATCAATTTGTTTACTTTACAAAAAAAAAAAATATTTTCTATCATAAATATTATTAAAAAAATATAATATATACATAAATATACACAATACATAATAAATATTTTATCAATTCATAAAAAATTATTAATTCTATTAACATAAATTTCTATAATATAATATAAAAAAACATTCATCCCCCCAAAAAAAAAAAAAAACAAACAAAAAACAAAACAAAAGCACTCATTTTTTTTTTTTTTTTTTATGAGTGAAACATTTGTTTTTTTTTTTTCTTTTTTTTTAAAAAAAACCACATTCATAAGATTCCATAAATAACAACAAAAAATTTTAGACACTGAAAGTATACAATCTTACTCACACACGTATCTAAATACATATATAGGGGCATGTTTGGTAGCGGATTTTTGAAGGATTTTCACAATTTATAATCTTTTTCTTATCATATTAAATCACCTATTTTATTATCTTTAAAAATATTAATTATATTAAAATTAATTTAATATTTAGAATATCATTTCAATATGTATTTATATCATATCGAAATTATTTAAATTTAATTTTTTATTATTTAAAATTTACATTCAAAATTCAAATACCCAAACAACCATACAAGATATTTTTGATATATAACAAACATATATTTGAGACGGAAAATCTAGCTAAAACTAGAGTTCTACAAAATATGACCTCATGACACAATATCCTATATATTTGTTTGATAAATTTTTCAATTGTTTTTTTTAGAGATATTCATACAAATTGCTCAAAAAAAGTTCATAAAAACAAATAACTTAAGGCTATATGAATGGATACATATAAATGAGTGAAAAAAAACATTTTGAGAAAGAACATGTAATATACAGATTGAGCCAATAAAGCAAAAAGACAATATGTTCTGTTTCAGAAACTTCCTCATCACCTAACTTCATGTGCATCTCCAAGTTTTTATTCTAAGCGATCACCTTATTGTTTAACAAATAGTCTGAATGGTCCTGAAAAGATTGACCTTCAGAATTTACTCCAAGTACCGAATCTACACCCACAATTGGGAGATCGACCATCATCCACCAGAGTAGCGCTCAAAGGTCCATTGGATAGCAAAAGAAATATTATTTTCAGACATTCTAAAAGGACGGCATCGTGGTCAATATTCCCTCCTAGATATGGAACGAGTGGGTTGAAAACAAGATTGTTCTATCAATCCTTTAACATTTTAAGTGCTCTCCAAATTTGTGTGCTACTCATTCATATCATTTTCGGTAGTCGGCTATGTTGGTAGAAAATGGTTTAATATCATCTTTGAGGTGATCATTGTCAAAACCAATAACATTAATAATTAAGTTCCACTCTTTGTTGATCAAAGCATCAACCCCCTTCGCCTCACTCGCCGTTGCAAAGAAAGGGCGCATAACAAGGGTACAGTGTCTCGATGCTACAAGATGTGACATTGACATCGAACCATCGAAAGAAGAGCTATGCATATTCGTTGTAAGCCATGATTAAGAAACCAAAAAAAAAAAATAATTGGATTCAAGTTAGAATTTTCAATTGTGCTGAAAACATATTAAGAACAAAAAACTTTGAAGGAAAATTTTTTTCCAAGAAGTTTGGTAAATGGAAAGAAGTTTGAGTGCAAACAAAACCTTGAGATGAAATTTGAAATTTATGGGCAAGTAGTGACAGTTATCATTATTGTTTTTTTATACAGGTCTCGAAAAAGAAAATATTCAATTTCAGACTATCTTATCTAAATTTCGCCATTCCTCGTCAACACACCGATTAGGGTTTAGGTATTTGAAATTGCAAAGGGAGAAAATTGTTTGACACAAAAATTTGGCCTATGATTTCGCCGAAAACCACTGAATTACCAAAGTCCGATCCAACAGATAAAGAAAGTGTGGAAAGGACTTTTGAGTAGGTGAAATCGAGTTTGAATTTGACATTGATGGCCAATCCTAAGCAGACGATTTTTAAATATTTTTTAACAAAATAATATAGGCATGTAACCAATCCCGAGATCTTATAATAGAAAACAATCGGTTTTCAACTGCCTAACCAATTGCCTTTAAATACAAAACAACAAATAACAATTTTGACATATTCAATCATATACAAATTTTTTTAGAACAATCATTTTAATTTTTTGCCTATTTTACTTTTCTCACATTTTTGTATTAACTTAAAGATTTATTTATTATGCTATAAAAATCAAGTTTAAGCTTATAACCAAAGTTTATTACTCCATTAGTTTCACTTGTTTTTTTGTCCGCTATTTTTATTTTTTTTTTCATTCCATCTTATATGTCCTTTCATTTTTAGGAAATATAAATATACATTTTAATCATGATTTTATAATTTATAATTTTTTAATTTTAATTATACTATTTAGTTATTTTAATTTTAATTTCTAGTATCTAAAGGAAATCTAAAAGATAGGACGAATGGAGTATTTATTATTAAATTTTTCGTGTTTAAGAGTTATATATCCACATATAAAAATCGAAGACAACATTTTCTTTAGAAATAAGTTTTTGGAGAATTTTGAAATTTTAAAGATTTATAAAAAAAACTAAAAAAATTAATATTTAATTTAATATTTTGTAAAAATTAAATAAATTTGATATGATATATTTTTAAAAATAATAATGCCAAATGAGTGAAAAATTGGTTGTATAAACGGAGACAACATATATAAACAAACTCTAAAAAACACTTTAATCTATGTCATTTGACGTTTTTTCTCTTTGAAAAGTCGTGTTCTACGATTGCCCTGTTTATCCTAGTACGTTTTTAAGTGACTCTGAAGCCAGTGGAATATAAACGCTGAATCCGCTGGATTTCAATTTTCGTTTTTTAACCTCTTTTGAAATTCGGCTTCACTCCACGGCTGGAGATCGCCGGAATTCGCTATCGCCAGCCGGCGACAGTATAGCATCAACATGGCGGTGGATTCGTCGACTTCTGTAATCGATTCTCTGTTGGAGAAGCTCAAGCTTGATGATCCATGGGTTCCTCCCAGATCGTGGGACTCCTTGCCCTACCTAGCCGGCGCGTCTTCCAAATCTCCTTCTCACTCTCCTCCTGCTCTATATTCTACTTCGATTGTTTCTGTAAGCTAGTTAACCTTAGATGTGCTCCTGAATGGCTTTGTTTATACACTTATTCTAGGATTTTTTGGGGAATTCCGGGTTGTACTCCTGGAATGTGCGTGACCTGTAGTCTCTCAGTAGTGCGGTGTTCTAGTTTGGCGGATTGTTATGGAATTAGAAACAGAAAGATGAATGTGAATCTATAAGAAACATTTTGCATGTTTTCTGCCTGATTTGTTAACAATCAAGCTCTCACTTGGATGGGAACGGTCCGGTATTTTAAGGGAGAATGAAAAGTTTATTTGAAGCTCTTTGGTTCTCTCAGATGACTTCCTAGCTTATTGATGTGTTTAATGTCAAACTTGCCATTACCTGAATCGATTTGGGATGTAGACCTTCTATTACGAGACAAATGCAATAGAACAACTCTAACACGTTTCTGAAATTCTCCTTATTTCTTTCCTTTTTTTTTTTCCAATGCAATTACTACAAAAACATCTTTTGCTTATTTCATGAATTTCTTTATATATATATTGCCATTTTGAACTTTATCCAATGTTGTAGGAACCCAGTCTGGTGAGATTGGCAATGAATGCTCTTCATGGTGTTGAATCAGCTTTGATATCTATTGAGAAGCTCTCAGCTGTACTTTGTTACAGCTCTGCAGACAGATCTTCATGTCGTATTCCAAATTTGTGGGCTAGGTCTTCAAGTACTACTGCTTTAGGGAACTTACTGGTTTCCATTGGCCATCTTGGTTGTTTAGTCTTCATCCTTCATAGATTTGTCAAGTACTTCACGGCTCCCGATGTTGTTGGGATAAATGGGCTTGAGGGAAGCCCCAACACTAATTCATGCAATGGAGAAAAGTTACCTCAGAATAATCTCACTTTGATTAACCAGGCTTTTGCAATTTCTGTTGGGAAGGTTGTGGATGGTTATATATCAGCTCTTAATACCTTATCTGCATCTGTTAAACTAAGGCGTCATTTGAAAACTAATGTTGGAGGTTCTCTTACTTGTATTGGGCATCCAGAAATTACACTCTTGGAGGTTTACCTTCATACAATGGGGTTAAGTACTCAGATTGAGGCACTTGGAAATATCTGCAATGTTAATCATCTAATTGTTGATTTTCCCGTGTCATCTTTAGAATACATGAAGACTAAAGCAGACATTGAGTTCAGCACCTTCCCAAGAAGTGGTGCTTTACTCTCATTTCTGTATGCCCAACTGAAGGTTGTGCAGTGTGAATCTCGTTTTTCCCTAATGTGGACATGAGTAGTTACTTGTAAATTCTGAATCTTTATATTCTTTTCCCTGTCTTGATCTTGCACTGGCTTTTTATATGTTTGCTTTTCCGCACCTTCACATATCATATTCAGTGAATTTTGTTTATACTCTATGTAAAGCCTGGAATATTGCTAATATTGGTGACCGTTTCTATTAATACTATCTAGGATGCACATCAACTCCTGATTTCGTGGAGGTTGTACTAGGATCTTGTCCTGTTTAAAAGGTCAAAAGCTTGGATATTGACTGCAATGGGTACAAATCAGTTCAAGTGTTTTAGACAGTAGATTTACATGTCTGTTGCTAAAATAGTATATGTTTGTGACATCTAGTACGTAATAAAGTGTGATGCTATGTTGATCTTAAAAAGTTTGGGAGAATTGTTATCTTATATGCAATTATGAATTTTAACCCCATCTTATTGTTAAACACTTGCTGCTTGTGAGTTGCCAGCCATTATGGTTTAGTTATACAATATATATAGAAATTAATTATACGTTTTTTGAACTTATGATTTCGTCTAAATTTGTTAGATTGCTGATCCTGGAAATCTTGCCACCCTGAAGTTCCTCTTTATCCGATCATATGAACCATATTCTGACTTTATTAGGACATGGATTTTTGATGGATCAGTCAATGACCCATACCATGAATTTGTTGTGGAGTGCATCAATGAGCATTCTTCAAATAACAATGGTATTTCCTCTGGATCACCTTTGCCCACCATTAGGGTAATCACAGTCATTGTGCTCCACTTTTGGAGTTTATCTTGAGATATATATCTTTTTTATTTATCATGTTCAACTCTAACAATGTGGTTTAACTTACACAGGTTCGAGATGCAGCTCTTTTGCCATGTTTTCTTGAAGAGTGCCTTATCCCACTTTGTAGAACTGGCCAGCAACTTCAAGTAATTACGAAGTTGCTGGAGCTATCGAATAATGTTGGTACTTATGATGCTCACGAAGAGATCCTCCCCTCGTTGGTTGGTTTGTCCAGTGATCATCTATGGTTTCAAATTCCACTCTCATTTAGAAAGGGAACTATAGAAAGAATGATTCACATGAGAGCCAATTATTACCATCAGTTGCTGGAAAAGGTTGAAAGCATTCTAATAAAACTTGATTTTAGTGAACAGGTAATTTTCATGTGGGTCATCCTGTTTCACAATGACACTGTTATTTTCACCCTCATTTTTGTCACCCTAGAAATTGCCTATATAGACCATATTTTATCTCAGGCGTTTTTCAATATACTGATGATTTGGAGTATACATGTAGGACATGGCTGATTGTTTGATTGCAAAGTTGGTTTTTGGTATAAATAGTACTTAGTAGTAATCTTTGACAGGCTCAACTATTGAACGATCTTTTTATTATTCTATTTACTTGTATTACCTCATTTATCTGAATTTAGTTATTCATCAGAATTTGTGCTTAACATTGCCTTGAAATCAGGTGGAGAAATTTTGTCTTTTAGAATTTCTGGACTTGGATTATGTTGGGAAAAAGTTTAGTCAGTTTTCTTCCTTTCAAAAGATTATATCTTTTCTGTAATATGCTTTTGGCATGAATCACGTGTTTTCAGGTTGCTTGTCAAAGTGTTTCGCTGAAACTTTTGAATAATCTTAAAAAGAACCAGAACCTTCTAGCATCTTCTACTTCAGATGAAAACTTGTCCTCTCCAACTTATAGAAGAAACCAGCATGTGTAAGTTCTCCCCACTTCCTACATAATTCTTTTAAATGCTCTGAACAATTTGGTCAGAAAACTATGCGAGATGCAGTTCTTTCATAAGAAGTTCTATTCTACTTAGGATTCTGAAATTCTCATCTCATAATTTACTGCCTCTTAGAGTTTAGGTGGATTTCTCATTTCTATTGGATATATTTTTCTTGCAAATGGAAAATACTCATTTATTTAGTTTAAATCTAATGTCACTGTCTGCTTTACAGGAATGGAGTGACAGTGTATGATGATGTATCAAGCACCATGGATGAGTACTCTTATAATGAATATTGTTTAGAGTCATCTGAGTGCTCATCTTCTGAAGGATACGAGGAGCAAAATGAGGTTGAAAAGATAAATTTTGCATCTGGCTGTGTGGAGCCAACTTATTTATCTGCCTTGCACTTCTCCTCGGGTATAATGACTGAATATTCAATAGAAAGCCTCAAAAAACATGAGATCCTTGAGGCAGACTCAGTCAAAATAAAGTGGAATCCTGGAAATGCTGCATTTTTGTCCCCGTCATTGATTAGTGAGAAGAACTTCTCAGAAACTTCTGAAATCTGGGCCAAAGAGCTTCATTTATACCCATCTGATGGTCATGACAGTGACCAGAAGAAATGTGATGCACATTTACATCCAACTTATCAATTGGAGCGGGGGGCAGAAGATTGTGTGCTGCTGAAAACTAAGGTAGGAGTCTCTGAAGTGCCTGATAAAGATCACCATCTGCACTTACTAGATGCATCCTCAAAAGCCTTCCGTATGTCAGAACTTAAATATGATTCTACTTTTTTCAGTATGAATCCATTGCTGAACAGAGGTTCTATTTTAAACTTAAGAGCTATTTTTGGAGAACGATCTCATGCAACTTATAAGAATTCCTACTTTCACTTTAATTCTGTACAAGACCCATTGGAAGCATGCAATGCCAAATTGGCAGGCGATCGTGGTCATGAATTTGTGACTCAGCTTATAACTGAAACTTCTTCTGGGGCAATTGATTCATGTGGTCATACTGGTGGAGAAATATCAAATGATGATGCCATAGAGAAAAATGCCGAATTGTATAATACTAATTCACCTCTGCATAAAGAGAGCAGGGATGAAGAGAATTTATTGTTTCCGAATACTTCCGGTGGAGGTGCTTGGGAGAGCTTGCTTGGTAAATATAGAAATGTTGGTAACAGATCCACAGAAGTCTGCCAGATGGAATCAGCGGGTGAAGCAGATTTGCCTTTGGATTTTGTGATTAAAAAATGTGTGATGGATGAAATTTTGCTTCAGTATCCTCTTAACTATTTTTGTATTTTTATTTGAGTTGAGTAGCATTATTTGAAAATTTTCTAATAAGTAGTAGGACTGTGATATATCTGATGTAACAGAGCTGCCCAGCTACTGCCTTTTGGCGTTTTAGGGCGCAACCTGCATTGATTTTAAGAATGTCTGTTTTTTTATCCTTCCACAATCTTTCACACCTACCTGCTTCAATTTGATCCTCACCTTTATATATGTCATCCTGCTCTTTTTTCCGAGACTTCTTGTTGTCTTATTAAAAAGGTTTTAGGCATTGCATGATATGAGACTAAAGAAGGTATTTGTATTGTTACATAAATCTTGTTTTTTTTTTTTTTTTTTTTTTTTTTTTTTTTTTTTTTTTTTTTATTTTCATCTTCCTATACATTTTTTTCCACTTCCCCCTGTGCCTAGAATCCAGTCCTGGAAAGTGGAGTGAGGTTGTAAGTTTCGTGTGAGTGTTATCTTACAAGATTGTGAAAATCTCCAAGTTAGTCATAATGCTGCAGCATTTGTCTGAGTCACTGGTTCTTGTTACCCGAATAATTGTTTTTGCTATTTTTCGTAAGGATGTATTAAAATGACTTGTTTTTTTACCTTCTGTTGAGTAACTCTGAGTGAATTAATGATTGATCAACCTGCATATATACCTTTCCTTGACAAAATTAGATACGACTATGTCAGCAAACTGACCATCAAGCTGCTCATAGAAGGATTTAAATTACAAGAACATTTGCAGGCATTGCGATGCTATCACTTCATGGAACTAGCAGATTGGGCTGATCTTTTTATCATGTCTCTCTGGCATCATGTATGTTATATTTCCAAGTATTCCTGTGATTCTTTCGTTGAGGTTTCTAATAAATTTTACTAGTTACTCAGAAATGGCATGTAAATGATGTGGAGAAGAGGATCCCGGAGATTCAAGGGGTTCTTGAGCTAGCACTTCAAAGGTCATCATGTGAATCAGACCCTAATAAAGATCGTCTATTTGTGTACCATAAAGGAGATGAAGTTAAAGATTTATTGACTTCTCATGTGGGTGAGTTTTGTATTTGAATTAGCATGTAAGAAAACAAAACCTGTATGCTCCTGTGAATTTTCTCATTTACTTTATAACAGATTGTAAAATGAGGGTAAAAACTAAAAGTAGAGTGACGATGGAGGGTAGGGAAGAGAAATGACCTTTACATAAATTAATCCTCTTAATAATAGCTTGTTATTTCTGAGGTTAAGATATGAATACAAACAAAACATTGGTCTGGTGTTTCATGTTTTTACTACAAAAGAATTTTCCGTGAAAAATAGCATTTGGATGCTCTAGGTTGGGGTAATGAAGCTTCTTGCTTCAAACATCCTGTTGGCATCCCATTATACTGTTTAAGGACTTCTTGCATACTGGGGGTGCTGTTTCTCACATGATAGCTATTGTCGCTATTGCTGTTGTTTGCTTTATATCTTATCTGGTTGCATTTCATTGACAGGAATCCACTACTTCGACTTTTTGGGTCTGGGCTATCGAATTGATTGGCCAGTCAACATAATTCTTACTCCGGGTGCGCTGGATGCATACTCTGAGATTTTTAATTTTTTAATACAAGTCAAGCTTGCTGCTTTCTCACTTAGCGATGCTTGGTCTTCATTGAAGGTAATGATCGCATTGTATTTATACTCTGCATTAAGTATACATCTCCTGAGACGTAATCTCAGATCTCCATATTTTGCGTGCTTTTCATATACATTATGAAGCTTTGCATTGAGAAGCCAATACTTAACTGGCTCACCTTCCTATCTGTGGGCTACCTTGCAAGTGTTGTCATGTAATAAAATTAATGACCGGTTTCTCTGCTTGTGAGAGTTCCTGAAAGCATGGTTCTGATATTTTTTGTCCAAAATAAAATGTGACTTGAAGATCCAAAAGTTCTCTGTAATGGTCTAGAGTTGTCTGAATTTTTGAATTCTCCTCAAGGCTTGTGGCTGTCAAATCAGTACTAGCAGTGTCTTCTTGAGCTTAGGTTTGTGGCTAATCCTATCATAATCTGAGAAAGGATTAGTTAGTAACGATTCAGGAACAATGAACCCCGCCTTTCTTATTTTGTAGGTGTGAATGCTATGACTGTTGTTTTATATGTGAGAGGTAAGTCCATGAAGCAGCTACAAAGTCAAATTTGTTTTGCATTGGGATAATTAACTGAAATTGGGTGTTTAACTTCACTTATTAACTCTATACTTCAAGGGATGGGAGGTTGTTAGAGCTAATAACATTTTAATTTCATTCTCTGCCTGTTTTGTTATGCATTTTAAGACAACAATTTTGTGTCTGGCTCTTGCTATGTTAAGGTGTTTTCTTTTGGTGATGATGCTGCTTTCATTTCTGTATTATGGTTGTATTATTTCCTGTATACAGTAACTATTCACTATTTTCTGTTCATCTTTTGAAGTTAATTCTTCCACCAACTATTCTCCCATTAACTTCTCAGTTAGTTTTAAGGTTAAATTGTTCAAAATTTTCATTTAGCATCTATCCCATTGAATGGTTACTTACATTCATATAGAAATGCACTAATTGATTGTGGGTTCTAAGTGATTTGTTTGTGTTTTTCCTTTCCGGAATTTGAACATGCACTTTTAACAGAATAATATGACAAGCATGATTGATCCCTCCCTGGTAAAAGTTCCTAAACATGCTACCCCAAAACAACCGTGCTTTCTTGAAGGAACCTTAAGTCTGACTCCGACTAAATAATGGAAACTGCTAATTATGGATTCCTAATAACACATTTGGAGAAACCTATTTCCTATTGTAGAAGTTATTGTATTATGTCAAGAAAAACCGAGTTATATAACACAATAAATATGTGTATATACACACACAAGCGTACATTCCATCTATTATATCAATCGAGTTGATCCGATTCATTATTATAAGGCAAGAGAGAACTTATGACCTTGCTGTTGGAGAGGGATTCGACCCACCTATTCCTATAAATACTTTGATTCTTATTATCTATGGGTGTGTCTGTTTTAATGATTTAGGTGGATTTTACTATTCATAAAAATTTTTCCCGAAAAGTATTAAATAAAATACTTTTTTATTTATATTATATTAAAAAATAATTTTATACGCAAAATATCACATCAAATAATTATTTCAATTCAAAAAAACCTTGTTATTCAATACAAAACCTAAAATTCAAACCCTTATCCGAACACCCTCAAATCATACAATCCAAGCTTGTTACATATAAAATTAGATTATGAACCTCCAAAAGCTTTTGTCAATATGTCTGCAAGCTGATCATTTGAAGATGCATATTCGGTGTCTATACATCCAAATAACACCTTTTTTATGAGGTGCAATCTATTTTCACATGCTTTGTTTGTTTATGAAATATTGGGTTTGATGCAATACGCAATGCTATCTAGGAAGATGTTTTAGTTTAGACAAGCTAGGATGACCTAATTGCTGATGAAGCAATTCAAGAGGCAAATTATGAACACTCAGTCAAATAAGCAGCACCTGCATTTGTTGTACAAGGAGGATGTCCATTAAGGCTAGAGCAATGCTCCTTGAGTATGTTATAGAGTTGGGTAAAGTCAAAGTCTATATAAGAAGACGGAAAGCACCGTACTCACCTAGGATAATTATTATTTTATTCTTTATTAATTCTCTTATTATTTTATTTGTGGTTTAATTCTTGATTATGAGTTTTGGGATTGATCCATAAATCCGCCTATATATAGGGCACGTCTAGGTCATGTTAGGGTAGACAACTATTATTTTGATTTTGATTACAGAACGAATTGGTTTTCTCTGTGGTTCTCTATATATCCATTGATTCGAATAAAGTAATAACAATTGGTCTGACTTGCCGGATCCTTTGCGGACGGAATCATGCCCATTTTCAATCAATAATGATTCGAGCTGCTGGAAGCAACTGTTGAGGAAATACAGGAGGAGGTAAACCAGATCGCCAGGACCTTTTCGCCAAGCTTGAGACTTTGGGAGAATAGAACACGAATGAGATGGTGTTGCGGCGGCATAAGTTGTTTGCAATGATCAAGGAAGCGCTCAGCGGCGTCAGCGTCAGTGGGTCAGCCACCGACGCAATTCCCGGTGCCCTCAGCGTTTCCACCCATGGCGTAGCCTCCACTCGCGCGCCGGATTCTCACCTTTAGGGGGGTTGACCCTCCGCCACAACATCTTCACCACCCCGCTTTTTTCAGAAGTCAGACTACCACCGTTTGACGGGACGGAGCCTGTTGATTGGATTGCTCACGCCGAACAACAGTTTGAACTCCACTAGGTTCGATCAGAACTCAAGGTAGCATTAATGGGCATTGCCATGGAAGGCATAGTGCTGCACTGGCCTCGATGGCAACACTTTCGCCATCCAACAACCACTTGGGTTGAGTTTTCTCGAGCCCTAGTACTTTGTTTTGATGATCGTTACATAGGGAGCCTTTATGAGCGCCTTGCCACACTTCGGCAAAAAAGGAGAGTTCATCAGTATATCAACGAGTTTATCCAACTAGCAACACAGGTACCAGGCTTGACGGATGAGCATTACCTCGGATACTTCATGGGGAGATTGCAACAGAACATCCGTAATCGTCTGAGGACACTAGACCCCAAAGATTTGGACTCAGCTATCTGGATTAGCCGTACCATTGAGTGGGAATTCAATTCTGGTTCTGCCATGACATATCAACATCCTGGACAACCGCATGGTCAATTTGTGAGTTCACGCCTTAGCGGTGGAGCGCATAATGGACCTCCGGTAGGTCTCTCTAGTCTCGGCAATGGCATTGAGAGTAATAGACCAGGCACGGACAACAGTTTACTGGCGAACGCCTGGTGGCGTTGGAGAGTCCCCCATGCATGTGCCCTTTCAGAAACTAAGTCGTGAAGAGTGTTGCGAGTGTCCGTCTAAGCGACTTTGTTACCGCTATAAGCAGCCTTATACACCATTGCATATATGTGCTAGCAAGTTCCTTCGTATTTGTGTGGTGGACCCAGACACAAATTAGGTGACCGAGCTCAAAGAGATGGACGAGATCGAAGGGTGGACAGAAGATGAGTCAGATCCACGGAGCTCGAGCAGATGACGGTAGAGACAACAAGCTCATTCCTCAGGTTTTGATACATTAGCGCGGACTAATGGACAATAATTCGACTTAGGTTGAAGGAAAGGAATTGCGCTTCCAGTTTCTTGTCTTTCGCCTTGAGGACGAGGCGGTTTTCAAGAGGGATAGAGTTATTATGGAGTTGGGTAAAGTCAAGGCCTATATTAGAAGAGGGAAAAACACTGTATTCACCTAAGATAATTATTATTTTATTCCTTATTGATTCTCTTATTATTTTATTTATTGTTTAATTCTTGATTATGAGTTTTGGGCTTGGCCCATAAATCCACCTATATATAGGGCGCATCTAGGTCATGTTAGGGTAGACAGTCATTATTTTGATTTTGATTACAGGACGAATTGGTTTTCCTTTTGTGGTTCTCTATTTCCATTGATTTGAATAAAATTTTCTTTTTTACTAACGCTAAGTTATGACAGAGTATGACTGGTCTTGCAACAATAGGTGCATTGCAAACAGAGATATCTAGTACCAATTGACTTTGAAAGAGTCAGTCATAGGAAACAAAAGAGAAAAACACCCAACCGAAACTCCGTCGGTGTGTGTGGCATACACGTGGCCGAAGCAGAAGGAACTGATGAGTGATGTCTACTGGTATTCCGTGAGGTGAGGAACGTGCTGGTGTGGCATGTCGCCAAAGATTATGTTGGAAACTGGCCAAAAAGTTGCCAGAAACAAGAAACTGCCCGTTCAGATAGGTGGTGCATGGTGGCGTCCAACCGTGGATGGCAGCACCAAGTCACATGCAGTTTGATTATGGTGTTTATTGAGTGTAAAGGCTGCTCAAAAGTGCGTTGGAGGAAAGTTAGGGCGTTTGGCCAAAACTAGAATTTAATCTGAATTAGGGTATAGGGGGGTGGGCATCATTGTTGCAGCGGTGGAGGGCTGCACCTGCTATCCTCTAAACCCTAAGAAGTTAAACTTTAACCAACTTTGATACCATATAGAAGTGTATTGTATTCTCTCAAGAAAGATCAAGTTATATAACACAATAAATAAATATATTTAGTTTCAAAATGAGCCTAAGATAATCATAAATAATGCGCCCAATCTAACATCAATTATACTATGTGGTTTTGCAGGGTTATCATTTGAAGAAGTGTGACGCAGAAGTGCACCATTTTTCATTATTAACTGAAACAAGGTACGACGTATACTTCTCACCTTTTTGCTGATTGAATGATTTGTTTGGGGGGATCTAATAAGAAACCTGTGGGTAATTTATCTTGCATTAAGTGTACTAGGAATGTATGCTTTTGACATTTTAAAATGTGGATTTTTAACTCCTGTTCTATCTATTACTACAACATTGCCCTGTTTACCTTTTAGCTTTTAACTATTCCAACTGAATGTTTATCTTTCTGGTTACCTTGATTGCCTCTGCTTCTATGCACTGATTCTTTCCCAACTTTCGTTGCAGGCACAAGCTTAACCATTTTGTATCTACATTACAGCAATATGTTCAGTCACAACTATCACAAGTATCATGGTACAGATTTCTACACTCCCTCAAGCACAAGGTTGGTTTGTACATGCCTCAGTGGTATTGTGTCTGTTCTCATTGATTCACTGTTAGCTCATCATATGCTTGATAATCTGTTTATCATTTTGATATATATTGTAGTGCCTTTTCATTTCAGTTTCTTTATTTATTCTTGAATTTCTTATAACCTTTGGGGATCACATCTTTGTAGAACTTTAATTATTAAATGATAAACATAATACATATATTTGGGATGTGGTGGGAGCCTGGAGCAGGGAAGGGATAAAATAGATAAAAGCTTGAGGCCTCCTAATGAAAATCTTTTGGTATTTACTAATTTATTTACAATTTTACAAAAGAGTGTTGCTTTATTAGCTAAATCATTTGAGGATTCTGTCACCTCGTTATTGGAATTTGCAAGATATTTTGAGCAATGCGCTTGTTCTATAATTTTCTTGTATATTTTAATTTTAATTTTATTATTATTTTTAAAGATCTCTTGTGTTCATATATATATATATATATCTTAAACCTTATTTTTACATCTTCAACCTCTTTATGCAATTATGTTAAGTTAGTTTGTAGGCCATCATAATGTAAAGTAGTTGTCTTTAAATTGGAAGAAAATAATGTATATCAAAACCAGGAGTCTGCCATCCACCATCTATTAGAATCTAACTTTGTATCCATCTGAGTTGTAGAGTGTTTTAATGATCTGACCAAGGCCAATAACAATACATTCCCCTCCAATCTGTTTATGTGCATGGCTTCTTTCAATCTATATTCTGCAAATAGCTACATTGACAAGATTACAAGAATGAATTGAGACATTTAGACCTACCTCTGTGTTTCTTCATTTCATGTTATCCCTTGAAAGATTGCTTTAACTTCCTGCCATCAGAAATCCATTCAAAGAATCTGGTGATATACAGCTTCTTCTCCAATTCTTTGTATGTCTTTTCTGGTCGACTCATCCATTCCATCTACAGAGGAAGCACATAATCATGCTAATAATAATTAGATATGACTATTTATTAAAAAATAATAATATTGAAGGAGTGGAGTATACCAAATATAGCTGTTAATTTGAAACTGAAACTCAGGCTTAAAGTCGATACATATGTGTCAAGCTTGGGTGAGTTTTTAGTTGCGTTCCTTTCATGCTTGGGGCAAGAGGCAGGGCCAACCATTCTGCAATATCCTTAAATATATCTTTTGAAGTAGAATAATCATGTTGGGGTTGGGCATGAATATGAAACTGCAACTGACCTTTAATTTCTTTCAATAGTGTTTCCATTTTCACATTTCGTAAATACAGAATCGTGTAACCTTGTTGTCTTTTCAAAGAAGCTCTCATTGATATAGTTAAAGTTTCTTTGTGTTTTATCTTGACCCATTATGGAAGTGTTTCAGGTCAAAGACATGACTGATCTGGAGTCAGTACATATGACTTATTTGTCTGAGTCCCTGCTCATGTATGGTCCTCTCTCTCTCTCTCTCTTAATATATTGCCTGCAAAACATAATGCACATATAGTCTCATCCATCACACCTTTAAGGAAATGTAAAATAGCTTGATGAGCAAGGGCAGTGCTATGCCAGTAACAATATATATGCTTTTGTTCATATCTTCTGTAAACAAAAATCTACAGCTTTCTATAACTAAGCACCTAGTGGTGATGAATAAATGACTCATCAGGACTTCTATAAGAAATCTTCACGTACAAAGTGAATAATCATCAATAAGGGCAACAAAACTATTGAAACCATCTGATGGCTTCTTGTTCTGTGAACCTTTTTCCCGAACTGTTTTTTCTTTCCCAATTATATGAGTGAATGAGGTTTGAAACTTGTATGTGATCGACTTACTCAGAACAATCATAAATTGGTTGCCTAGCTTGGGTATAAATGAAGAAATGCAAATCCTGATGCAGTCTATATATAGTGCATAAAAATATCTTTGAACAGTATGAAGTACCAGTTTTTGCTGCAAATATACTTCCTTCTGTAGTATAGTATGTAACCATTACCATTACCATGACCTTGCAGATGCTTTCTATCCAAGGAGACACAGCCTATTGCTGGCATTATCCGGAGCATCTTGCAGTGTGCAATTGATTTTCGATCTTGCTTGAATGGAAGCATGATGGGATATGGATCCAGTGATGCAAACTTGACCAACCGACTTCATATAGATATCGCACAGGTAGTTAATTATCAACAACAATTATCATGCTTTGGAATCTAAAATTTCATTCTATGAACTGCTGCAATGCATCGCATCAAAAACCCTACAACTCTACTATAATATATTTCCTATTGTTAAACAGAATGAATTTTCATCTACTAATTGAAGATAATACTGCCTTGTTACATCCATTACCAATTCATATTTTAAATGCTGTGGGAAACCAACATCCAAGCAGTCTGTTAGTAGCGCTTTTTAACCATTTAGCTGGTGCTGCTGTTCCTGCAGGTTCACTCTATAAGATCAGCATTCGCAAAGAATGTCGAGGACCTTTATTTAATTTATGTCCAGTCCCCTAAACACAGTGAATTCAGTGTTTCTCGCTTCTGGGATTACCTTAATTACAACGAGTATTACGGAGGGGCAATGAGTAAGAAGATGGGCAATAGCATCTTTAGTCCGTAGAGAGATTTGGGGAGCCTTCTACCACAACAGGTAGGTACCAACATGCCATATTCCAAATGCATGCTTTTAACCATAATGAAGCCCCTTTTATCTTGCAGATTAGTTTAGTTTAGTTTAGTCTAGTCTAGTTTTGTTCTCTACTTTGATGGCCAAGTTCATTGAAGATTAGTCTTTATTGCCGAGCGTCACTCGTCTGTTTTGTTTTTTGTGGTTTGAGAAATTTGCTAAAAAGACCCCTATGATTCTAAAATTTCGTTTTACCTATTTGTAATTCAAATAATATTGTAAAAATGATTATATTAATATTTCACGAAAAATATAGCAAAAGCACATAAACTGCAGGCATTGTTACAAAATCATGTTACAAAATCATGATAATATAAAAGGGAAATTACAAAAATGCTCTCTTGTGTTAATAAAAAGGGAGAGGGATCCGGTGCTGACGGCTGCACCCATCAGCACTATGCTGATACAATATAAGCCCTTCATCATAGTAGATTATAATTTAATAGTTGGGATTAAGCAGGAGCTTGATGGTATTTTCTCAATTCAAACTAAGAATTAAGCATTCCTTTTCCCTCCCCTTGTATTGACTCGTGATGCTTACTGCTACGTAGTAAAATGTTTGGCTTAGTATATATAAATATTGCAGGTTTAGAAACATTTTTTTTTTTTTTGGTAACAGTTCGCTGCTCTATGCGGAAACAAGGTTAGTTTCCGCGAGCTCATGGAAACAAAACTTGTTTTTGCGGAAAACATAATTTTTAAAAAAAAACTTGCATGATTTCAGCAATAATTTTTTAAATAGACAATTAATTTTTCTGCATTTTCTGGAATAACGTTCATATCATTTGATAGTTCATTAACATCCTAAACACATTTGTAGAAAATGCGTATTGGTACTCAATAAAATGTTTATTGGTATTCGACAAAATGCTTGGTCTTGTATATGTAAGTGCTTAATATCAATATATTGCAACTAAATCATGTATGAATTGACAAAAAATCTATTTCTTTGCATTTATCTTGCTGGTTATCTCTCTTATTCAACCTTCGATGCTTTGTCTCTTAGAGTTGCTGATTGACACTTTTGCTTTTAATTCTTCCTTTTGGATTGTCTCTTGGCTTCAATATTAAATGGTCTGCAGTGGTTGTATTATGTACTTCTCCTGTAGCATGAATAATCGATTAGTTTAATATTATATACATTTCAATGAATAGAAAATATATACGAAACGTAACTGTTATTTTCATCCGTCGGCATTCCTCTATACAAATTTGGGTATATAACTGTGTTGTGAAGCAATTCATTGAATTTATGTAACAATGAACTATAATTCTTCGGCTCAGATGCTATTAATTTTGCAGAATGCATGACCAAGTGGCACAATGATTTGTATTTTCCTGAAAAATCCATTTCCTCCCAACTAGATGTTAAGTTTATGTGGTGCTGCTGTAATATCCTCTTAGCATCTTTTCTTCATCGATTCAATATGTATTTGTTTGGGATGCTGTTGAACTATGCACACCCTGTTGCTACTAATACATCTATCGTGCGTATTGAATGACAACACAACGTTCCACCATTTTTCTACATATTGCACGTGCACTTAATTGAAGACTCTTGAATATTGACGCGCATAAGATGTTGATTGTTTGTCTTCTCCATGTTATATACAAGATATGTTGTCTTTTCATCTAAGTATTATGTTATGAATTCAAATGATCTGTGGCGTTGCTCTTGAAACCATTGAAAGACATTCGGTGTGTAGAACATAGCTGTAGATTTCATCAATGAGTTGAACATATGATTTGCAGCCAACCGTCTATCCCGTGCGAATAAATTTTGTTGTTCTTTTTCTCTATGATTCTCCACCACTCTTTGAAATTGATGAAGAAATTGAATAATATTACTGTCTGGCTGTAAAAACCTGTCCAGCATATTCACGTTCATTCAACAACATATATGAATAATACACTTAGCATACTAATCTATTAATTTCAGCAGACGAGCCAAGTAAAGAAGCATGTTCAGTTGTATAAAGCATAGGGGCTTGTAGGTTGTATTTTAAACCTTTTCAATGAGAAGTTAAATTATTCACTTAGTTGTGTTGTTCTCATCCATGCAGTAAAGTATTGTCTTGTCCAAGCCGAATACCATTATTGTCTCAATGATAAATATTTAGTAGCCACTTATGAGGCCCTTTGGGGAAGTACCTGTAACATATATTCCCATTGAAAGTTGAATTGGTTTTCATCATGTACCCTGTAGAGAATATGTTGAAACATCTCAGCAAACCTGTGTACAACGCAAGTAGAGTAGTTGTAATTGGTATCTTCGATTATCAAATTCATCATTTAATTGTAATAATTCCAACATACCTTGCAGTGTAAAGAGCAATGAGATTTTTTTTGGCATTTTGTACAGCATGCATGTGCACAGAGCATGGCATGTCGTTGACATTGTCCCTTTTAGTGTTGGAGCCATAGCCAAATCTTGATCCATAAAAATAGTTTTCGGTGCTTGTCCGCTATGCACTTTAAGAAGGTATTGAAAACCCATTTGAATGAATCTTGTGTTTCCTCGTACAACAATGCTGTCCCAAATATAGATGTTTGACGGTGGTTATTAAATCCTACGAAAACACCTGATGGTGCAATATTGTTAGTATGTGGTATCAAACGTAATAGAACCCCCAAACAATGCGTAGTCTTCCCTCATTTTAGCATTTGACCAAAATATATTAGTAATCTTATCTTCATAATCGACCTCAATTTCATTAAAAAAAAAGGATTATCCACTGATCTTTGGCCAAAGTACTGCAGTAATGCATTTGCTTCGCGCTCTTTGAAAATTTCTTTCCTTATTTTCTCCATGTGATTCTTCAGATCCAACTTCAGAAATCCCACGCTTTCCTTTCCCCCAGCAGCTATTTTCATCAAATCATATGATAATGTAATTGGTAGTTCAACTTCCTGATTTGTATTTGCAATGATTAAATGTAATTCATCAATCCTATGATTAGATATAAGCATGTGCTTGTGTTTTGTAGGATGTAGATTATGATTGTGGTTGTCTTCAAAGTATGTCATTTTGTACTTTACATTCTCATTGTCAAACTGAAGTCATATATTTGAATTACAATATGTTTTCATTTTATGACTACGATGCATAGTTTCGATCCTTCCTAACTTCCTGCATTGTTTTGAATGAATATCAGGATGATTTGGTTTCACATTGCTATCCTCTTTGAACCCTCCTTTGTTGCAACAATAATTTATGTATTGTATCTGGTGCGGATCATTTTTCTAACTTTTTCTGCATTTTTATCCTCACTGAAAAGCCCCTGTTGTGTGCATACTTACAATAGAAATTGTATGTATTATTCGGTTTTGTAAATTTCATTGCGTGCCAATCTATGGACTCTGCACATATGGAATGCTAGATTATGTAAATCAAAATGCTGACTACCATGTTACAATATGCTTTTAGATAAATGACAGGATACTGATCTTCATGTCAAATACATCACATACCATGCTGATAATTAAAATGAAATGTTGTTCTCTTCACAGGGAAATGCTGATGTTACTTTAACGGTATGCTGCATTTTTTTTTTTAACGGTAATTTGAATGCTTTAATTGAATTGCGAATGCTAAGATATATTTATGAAATTCCAACTGATAAACTGAATCTAGTAAATTCAATGACATAGATCACAGAAGGTACGGTGTTCACGATTTCAAATCAATTGTCGATGAGCAATTTACACGATTGAGGGATTTTCCGTTCCACCGCATCTGGTATTAGTGAGGGCGCTGGATCATCCGAAATTGCAATATCTTCGATGTCTCTATTGCTTGCTGAGCGATTGATTGAGGTTGGAATAATGGATAATTGATTTTGCTCACCTTCGTCGATGTCAACCATTGAAGAATGAAGAAGAGTGAAGAATGAATGATGACTTCTGTTCTCCCCACCGATTGCTGCGTGAAGAACGACGGAGAATGAAGTCTGCTTGAAGAATGAAGAAGATTGATGTTACATGAATTAGGGATATTAAAATTATAATATTACTCTTAATTTAATACTCCCTCCGTCTCACATACCATGTCCACGTTGCCGTTTCTGTCCGTCCCACATTACATGTCACTTTCCTTTTTTTGGAAAATATTACACACTTTAATCTCATTTTAAACTTTTTAATTATTTTTTTAATTTTAATTAAAATAATTAGTTATCTTAATTTTAATTTATAAATATTTGTATTATAAGATAATTATTTTAGCAAATACATTCTTAATTATCTATTAATTACACCTCTCCTAAAATACCGTGTCTACAGTGTAGCAGACGCAGTATATGGGACGGAGGGAGTATTAGCCATTGAACTAAAATTTTTAATCCAATGACTAATATACAATCAGCAAAGAAGATTGAGGTTACATTAGGATATTAAAATTATAATTATACTCTTAATTTAATATTAGCTATTAATTCAATGACTAATATACAATCAACATAATACTGATGTTTAATGATCAACATGCAATCCTACCCTAATAACAAGAGTTTTTTTCCATGTTATAATACTGTCCGTTTAAACATGTCCGTTGTAACTTCTGTTAAGTAATAATGGAAGAAGTATTTTTTGTAATGTTATTTGAATCACAAGTAGGTAAAATAGAATTTTAAAATCAAAAGATTTTGCCCTTAGAAAAACCCAAAAGAACGAGAAGTATACATGTAGAAAGTAAATGCATGTACATTAATAACAAGGAAAGAAAGCAAAACATTTTTATTTATTGATTTATTTTATTTTTGCATGGGAAGTCCCCCAAAAAGAAAGGAGGGCTGTTGACATGCCGTGAGTTTTTTTTTTTTTTTTTTTTTTTTTTTTTAATTTTTAATTTTCAATCCATTTATTATTATTTCATCTATTTAGTTTTTTCTGTAATTTTTCTACCTGTGATTTTATATTTGTAATTTTTATTTCGCCTTTTGCATATTACAATAATATTTATATTTTATTATTATTATTATTATTTTTTTTATAACGTGAAAATCCGCGGCCGCTATCCGAAAATATGCACGGGATAAACCCCTAATAAACTCCGAACATAATATCTTGCATATATTTTATTAGTCTTTGTCTACAATAAATGTTGTAGCAACAAAATTTTATATTAAATAGAATCATAACTATTGTTGTTATTTGTGATATTTATTACTCGGTCCCAAGATGATATTTTCGGAAGAAAAATTTAAATAGTATAGATTAGTTATTTAGATCGTGAGAATTAATTATTTAATAATTTTGTATAATAGAAGTATATTATATATTGATTATAAGAAATTTGAAAATATGTATTTAAATATTTTTAATATTATATCTAAATAAAATATATATAATATTGATATTATTTAGTAAAGAATAAAATTTCATATAATATAAATAAATAAAAGAAATATATTTATTTATTTATAATTATCATAAATTAGTTTTATAAGAATATTGAGAGTTTTAAAGTTAGATAAAAATATTGATTAATTGAATATAGAAATAAAAGAGTTTTGAGTAGGTAAACTTATAAGGGGTTATAAATTTAATTTAATTAATTTATATTTATTAATTATGTTCAAGTTAATAAATTTATTAAAAATAGAAAAAAATCATTTTCTATGAGATCGATCAAAAAAAAAAAAAAAAAAAGGTCATTCCATATGGAGGGAATACTGTTATTAGATCCAAGCACACAAAAATTTGACAGTAATAAGAAGAATAATCATTGACTTGACAGGTAATGTTCTTTTATTATTTTATTTATATTTATAATTTTTATAAAATTGATCTAAAATAATATACTTCTTTTATTAGAAAATATAACAAATGTGACTTGTGGCAGTAAAGTTATGAGTTTAAACTTCGAATGCCTCAGGGTCTTACATGTCACATATAATTCACTTAGTGTGACTTGTCTTGTCGGATATAGTTTGCAAATTTATTAGGTTTGGTCGAAAGTTTATCCATAGCGCATTCAATGAATAGCGGCCGTAGATTTTTATATTATTAAAAAAAATAAAAGAAATGAATAAAACACAAGAACATACATAAAAAAAAAAAAAGATTTTATTTGATCTTTTATATAATTAGTGATGATTTTGTATTTAAAAATATTAGAAAAAATAATTTTATTTAATTATTTATATATTTTTGTGTAAAATAATGCAATACAATACACCTAAGGTCCTAATTTTGGGGTGCGTTTCGCAATTAGCTGATACCTTTTAGCTTTTAATTGATTCAATTAGGTGTTAGCTGATTCAATTAGCTGGTTTGACTAGCTGATTCAATTAGCGGTTTGTATTAAAGTGTTTGGTAAAACAGCCGTTTGATATTAGTTGTTTATACGTAAAATGACTATTAAGGATATTGATATATTATTTTTTAAAATATTTAATTTTGTTCATTTTAGTTTGAAATTTATGAGAATTTTTGTTATTAATTACTGAAAATTATTGAAAATTATAAAATATTTATTTTTATTTTTATTATTTAAATATGAGAAAATTAGTTTTACTAAAAAATAATAATTATTTATTGAAATTATGTAAAATATAAAATAATAAAATCTTTCGTATATATATTTTTATTATGTTAATTATTGTTTTAATATATATAAATAAATTAATAATCTTTGTTTTTTTTTATTTGATTTAGTTTTAAAAATTTATATATTTTACAAATAAAATAATTTATATGTAATAATTAATAATAGTAATTATTTTAAATTTAAAAAAATAAAAATATAATTTAATAAATTAAATATATTAAAAATAATTAATAAATACTGCTATAAAAATATATTTATATGTATTAGCTTTTTACTGGTCAAACAGCTAAAAACTGTTCAATAAGCTAAAAGCTCTTGAAAAAGTTGTTTCCCAAAGACCCTCTTCATCTCCTCCAGGCTTGTCGAAGTTTTGGAATGAGGCTGCTCCTAGCCATAGTCTTCGAGTCAATATACCACTTTGGAGAACTTGCATACGAATTTTTGAAAGAATTCTGTGACAAGAAAAGCTAGTAGCTTTTGTCTTTTGTGTTATTTCTTTTGGTCCAAGTGCACTAAAGATATCTTTCGAACATGCATGTGTTCGATTTCAAACAAGAAAGAACCCAATAGTTAATGAGATTGTGCGATATATTTTAGATACTTATGATTTGATTAGAATTTTATTATCTAGATTAGGTGGTTATTATTTCATTATATCTATTATGTTAGATTATTATTGTTCAAGTCTATTGTGTGTGTATTGTATCTATTTATAAACCCTTCATTTCATTATGAATATATGCAATTATGAAATTTTGCAGAATGTCATGTGGTATCGGAACGATGTTTCTTCGTATACATTCAATTTTGAATGTATCTGGAGGTCTCTTGATTTAAAATCTGTCTGTAGTTGCTCGTATGTTAAATTTATTTTTTTGCCAAATTTGTTTTTCAGTTTTAATAAAATTTATGCATAGTTATCAATCACGGATTGTGGTGCGTAGCGGTCAATATCTAAAATGCTATAGCGAGATAGCATACCGCTATTTAAATACTTCATAATATATATTTATATATTATTATTGTTGATGATGATATTTCAATAATAAAAAAGAAAATTTGAAAATATATTTCAAATTTGAGTAATAAGGCTTGAAATCATAAATTTTCAAGCAATGAACAAAGTTGAAGAAAGGAAATATAAAATAACTGAAAATGAAAATACCCCCGATGAGATTCTTTGAATTATGTCTGATTGAAGATGCCCATTTCTTCTCACTCGAGTTGTGTACATACCTGTCTGAACCGACTCCAAGTCGGTTACTCCGATTGTGTATTGAACCGTCATCGGTTACAATCATCGGTTACCCTCTG